GTGGGACTTAGGGATACCCGCACGCAACGCCACTGACCAAGAAACTCCTTTGTTGCACTGTAATCTCGAGGACAAAACCAAGCGTATACATTCAATCTCTCCTTCGCGAAACGTGATGACGTAGCTGGGCGGTAACAGTACCGCCCAGTGACGATATTTGAATACGGCTCATAGATTGCATCCGAGCATTGCGTCGGCACTCGATTTGGGCTCGTGATAATCTATAGCTCAAGAAACATTCGGGTAGTGTCCCGTGTCCAATCGCTGCAATGACCACAACAGCCGAACCATAACAATGTCTGGAACGCAGCGATTGCCCTGTGCCTGCCTGTGCCTTGCCAACCCCAGCGCGTGGCTATGAGCAACATTGGCGGCATATAATCGGCTCCAGATCACGTGGCCGCTTGTTCTGGCTGCGAGTTGAGGGGGTGAACTCTGCTTGGTTTTTCTTTATTTTTTTCTGCGACTTCGATTGCGTGTGGTGAAAAACCAACAGGTATTTCACAGGTCATTAACGTCAGGGATCCGTTCTAAGTGGTATTTCCGCAAAATACAAAACTCGTTGCATCGCCCCTTTAACGTGACAGAAGCTACGCCTCTCACGCGCCCTATTCCTCATTCTATCTGACCAAGTGACGTGAGTGCACGTATAAACATGGTACGTGAGTTCACTTACCCCCGGAACAGCCTATGACGGCGAACGGCAGAAGGGCCCCGCCGAATGAAGAAGCTCAGAATGTCATCATATCTGGAAAATGAGATGTGCGCGGGAAAAATTAGAAAATCGAACGTCATGCCCATCGTTCCCGGTGGGCATGACGTTCGATTTTGCGTCGGAGTCGGACGTAGTCGGTTGCCATTGTGTATGAACCAGCCTCTAGAGTCAAACTGAGTCTAAGGAAGCCGTTTTTGAAAGCATCCCGTTTCCACTATGTGCTACCCAAAGTGTAGCACAACAGTTATCGGGCGGACGATTGGTGACTCCAGCAAAAGAAATTGCCTCTAGAACGTCAAATGCGAAAACGTCTTCAACGAGACACTTAAGGGATGATTCGGCGTCGTGTAACGAACAGGTTACATCACGCGTTACCCAAAGCGCGAAGCTGTCATCTCGAGGTCAGAAACCGCGTGGTGGTAGACGCGAATAGGAATCGAATTCAGGTTTTTTTCAGCGCAACGGCGTCTACCAGTGTACAGTGGGGCTACTATAGTATATACTTGTAACTATGTACAAATAATTTAGACCGTTAGCCTTCCTTACGTCAGCCGCTCCTCGCTATCTTCTTGATCCCCTAAACCATACACCACCCGTTTCCATTGAAAAAAAAAGCTTACGGTTGAAACTCCGTTTATCGGCCCTGGTTTTCCTCCAGAACGCGCATGGCTATAGAGATGTTCGCGGTGTTTCATTCTGCTCCGAAAAATTCAAACTGGCGTTACATGAAAGGCGACGGGAAAGGTTTGATAGCCTCAAACTGAATGGAAATGCGCACCAACACGTGCCGCGAGCCGGTAATGTATTCATTGGTGGTCCTGATTCCACACGGGCGTAGCAGAGCCGTAAATGTAGAGAGTTTGGCCATTCGTTGGGAAGTATAGGAGGCAAATGAGGAGGCGCCATTGGCCGAAAGCGGGCTGGGCGTGTGCCAGGGCGTCTTCAGAAATTCGAATGTGACCAACCAGAAGCCGGAAATAATACCCTGGCGGTGGTCGCGAGAAACAAACCTGATAACTGCATTGGAGTAACTCTCGATGGCTGAAAATCAGGTACACGTGATGTTTCAATCACACTCATCTAAAATGATGGTGGAAGAGTGCGACTAGCGGAACGATCGACATAATCCGTACGCCAAGCGCCAAGGGCCGGGAATCTGCCGTCCGAGTGGTCACACTCTGTCCGCGCAAAACAGATTTGCGTGGCGCATTCGGTTCTTACATCTTTCTGCATGATCATGATCAAAACGACACGTGCACCCTATTTTCATCCACGAAGAGTTACTGCACTTCACTCTTACGCGCTTCTTAAAACCATATACGAACATAGACTTTTGATCAAAACTGCTTGCCGCTACCACCGCTAGGGAATTCTTTTCGGCTTCTGGTTGGTCAAGAGAGCATGCCAAGCCCTCTTTCCGAGTCTGGTGCGCGCCTGGCTCTGCCCGCGCCTCCCATTGACCAAACTCTCTACATATACGGCTCTGGGGCGTAGTAGCCCCTTCGCGTCCTGCGGTGGGCTTCCTAACGGAGCAAGCGCGTATTGCACCGAAGCGGACGCACCGCTGCGCCGGAGCGCAAAAGCTGTTTCGAAAACTGCGCAACCGCCGCCAGGGTTGGCGGTAACGCGTGACCAGGTGCGCCGTTACCGCTAACGCCTTACCCTTTTCGCTAACGTATAGTAACGTGCTCGTTACGTTTTGAAAACGGTAACGGGTAACGTACTTACGTCACGTATATCAAGTAACGGGTAACGTAGTTACGTTACTCGTTACATCTTCCCAAAACCTGAAAAAGAAAAAAAGAAAGTACCGTTAAATTTGTTTTGTGGTTCTATACTTCATTTCACCTTGGGCCCAGACGCAGCCGTTGCTATACGGAGAGCAAGTCCTCTGCTTCTTGCGCAAGAGTCGCTGTGACGTCAGAATGATGCCGAGTTTTGATTGGGTTGGATTGAAAAGATAGTGGAGAGACCTCAATGCTAGATACCTTGAGGTCTACCCACTGTTTCTTTAAAACAGCCAATAAGAGCTCGGCGTTATGACGTCATCGAGCTCCCTGTGCAAGATGCAGACGAACTTCGCTCCGCATAGAGCTAATGCGACCGATCGAACATCCTCCAAAGGGCACAATCATGGTGATCGTCATGTTTCTGCACGTGTTCTATCATCGCTGAACCAATCATAAACAGAAAAAACCTCTTGCGCTTTTGACGCTGATTGATTGATCCTATGGTAACCTCGGCTGCGTTTGGATTTAAGCTGAAACGAAGCCTATATATGCGCCAAGTCATCAATTAATGCACTCATCCCACATACCTTCAAAATTTTGCCTGTTTCTTCCCCCAGGGAAAAAATCCCCCTTAAAAAAAAATTAAAAAAAGCTAGCGTTTTTTTTTTTTATTTTAGTGGTTAGGAACGCTGTTATAAAAACGCCGTTGCCGTCAAGTTATCAATAGAAAGTAACACAAATGTAACGGGCGTTACTTCTATCGGTAAGGGTCACGCGTTCCTCCTATTTCGAGATAACGTAGGTGTGTAACGCGTTCCTTTATTTTGCAAATAACGAGTAACGTGTTTCGTAAAATATTTTTTTTTCGGTAACGCATAAAACATTGCATGGTAATCGCAGGTCTTCTATCTTTCTGTATCATTATTTAACGGTATAGATCGCCGCCGTATTTGGTTCTGAGGTTGAAAGTGTTTTTGCCTTTGTCTTTTGTTTCTCAAATCCTAAACAAGGGCACGTATTTTCCGCATGTGTTAAAAGAAAAGAGACATATTGCCAACAGAAGAAGAAAACGGAATCTCGTTCCTGCCGCAAAGCACGTTCTGAATGCTATTTGTATTGACTATTAAGGGTTCTTCATGTTAAGTCTCTTTTAAATTCTTAACAACTTCGCATTGGATCTGCTGTTCACAATTCCTTTGCCCTGTATCTCAGAGCTGCGAATTTGGTTCTCAAATATTAGGCATTCGCATTACTTGCCGAACGGTGACCAAGGCCCTGAGCTGGCATCCGTATAGGTCAAGTTTTGCGAGCGACGTCAGATTCATTTACGTGGAAAGCAAAATTACCGAATTGCGCACATGTCTGTAGGTTCACTCACCAGGGAGGTCGCCGCTATGTGCCTCATTTTACAAATTCCCTCTCTTTCCCTCTTTTTTCTGTCGCAAATAAAGTGGGTAGCGAATACATGATATAACGAACGTCTTGAGGCGCATTACGTCGTTATGACGTAAGAATTCTCGCTCGTTTAGAATATATGAAATGGTGTTTGGTCATTATCTTTGGTTCCGATGCTTCCTCTATATACAGGCCAGGATAAAAGGGTTAGAGCATGTGGCTCTATACGTCAACCCCCTTCTTTTATGGCACCGAACAACTTACTATAGAGCGCTAAATCATAGGAAGGAATATATTAGGTTATGAATCATGATGGTCACTTGGCGTAAGGCAATCCTCATTTTCGTACGCGTCAGATGCGCGCCATCTGCCGCACGCGAGTTGCGGCACAACTAAAACACGCCGCTCTGAGCCGGGCGTGCCGGCAGGGAAAAGGCCGAAACTTGAGAAGAACACGACTCGCGAAAGAAGCGGCAAACGGCGAGGATCTGTTCCAGCGCTCGGCGTTGTTCGCAGCAGCAGCAGCAGCCTTCTCCAGAGTCAACCGAATTAGCGTGGCTGGCCGGGTAATGTTCGCAGCGCACCCAGCGGTCAACGCGGCAAAACGAGATGTGCGCCCAGCACGCCATCCTGATTGAATGCGCCGGGCCGCCGAAGGGGGCGGCGCGTCGTAAACGTAATGGCCGAGCCAAGGGGAAGAAAGGGTGGAGGGGGAGTGCGTCCCGTGAACTCAACAGCCGCCGCCGAGCTCGGCACTATTTTACACGCGTGCCGTTTCTCGCGCTTCATTAGCATACGCCTGCCTTTCGTCTCTTCCCGCCTCTCGGTGCTAGTTGGGGGCTTCGCTGTTGGTTTCCGTACTGCGACGAGTTTAACCGCACGAGGAAGTACGAAAAGCTCTCGAAGACATAGGAAGAGCGCGCTGCAAGAATGACGGAGAAGAGATTCACTGCGGGGCTGTGTTCTTTCACAGGCCTGGGTTCGCTTGGTGTTGGCGAAAGCCGCGTCCAAGTTATACTTGTAATCGTGTTTGTCTTTCCGCGTCACCAAGTTCCTCGCGAAGCACTACAGGCGCGAATCTTTGTTACGCCAAAGGGCGTACAAAGAGCGAAAATACTTGCAGTTTTCGAACTTGGCGTGTATCCGTCATAAATTGCTTCATGTATGGCGTGATTTTGAAATGTCTCGCAGAGACCACATTGGGCGCTGAAAGGTAACATGCCCTCTCGAAACCGCACCAATAAGGATGTTTGGCCCGGCCTTTAAAGTACTCGCGTGACTCAGCTATCCCAAAAATCAAATCAAATAACACACGATCGCAAAATCTCGTTGCGCCCGACCTCTTCCCCAATCAATAGCGCAATCCAATCTTCAAAATATTCCTCTCTTGCTCTCTGAAGGAATCAAAGAGGCGGATCGTCAAAGAAGTGAAACAAAGCGATTGCCTATGGGACGGTTTTTCCACCGACTCGCTGGATGGATGGATGGATGGATGGATGCTAACGTCAGTACCCTTTATATCGGGCGATAGCTTACGCCACCTAACCTATAAACTAAAAACAAAAAGTCTTTCTCCTCCTTTCGCCCTTCTAAGTCAAATCGCTTGTCCTCTGGAATTTTGTAACTCTCACCAGACGGTGTGGGATATACCTCTCGAAACAAAAGGTGTTGGGGCTATACTTAAGTCGCGAGACACATTTGAAGTTGGGCGCAATTTGGAAACGTCGAGACGTCTGCCCCGGAGTAAAAGCATAATCACTCAAACGAGTCTCGCGACTTGGATATTGCTAATTCATTTCGCTTTATTTTCTGACATACATGTCCTATCCAGACATTTCAAAAATTGTCTGATGGGAAAGTTGAGTGTCCCTTTATTGAACACACAGAAAATAATCTTTTTTTCATACATTACACGAATATTCATTTAAGGTGACGCGTGTTCTCAACACCGTGCGTCTGTTTTCTTGTGGGCAGCGTCCGCGTGCCGGCGAAGGAGGGTCCCCCGGGCCAGCCGACCAAGTCGAACCCGAGCAAGCGGCACCGGGAGCGGTTGAACGCCGAACTGGACACGCTGGCCAGCCTGCTTCCCTTCGACCAGAATGTGCTGTCCAAGCTCGACAAGCTCTCCATCCTCAGGCTCAGCGTGTCCTACCTGCGCACCAAGAGCTACTTCCAGGGTAAGCAGCAGCCCCAAAAAGCGCATCCTTTTTCTTTCTTCCAAGCGAGCGCTTTCGGTGAACGCCATATTTGAGTGCGCTGTTCGCTGGGCATACTCAAAACGAGCTCACACGTGTAGGCTGCCAAGACGGCAATCTCGAGGGTGTGGAAGGTACGTTGCATAAGCATCGTGAAAGCTGCCCATCAGCACTCGCTCGGCAAATACGAACTGAGATGTATGGCCGCCCGAGAATTAATAACCCCCATACATGTACGAAGTGATGTGATTGCTGCGGCATTCATGCGCCAGACGTCGCCTAAATGCTCGCCATGTTATACGTCCTGACACGTGCTCCGAAAGGTATACATAATCTGTTTACGCGCCGCGGCTCTGAGCGCGTATATGAGCGAACGTGCACGCTGCAGAACCCAGGGATCGTGGGTTCGATCTCCACCTCAGCCCGTTAGGATCTGTATGAGAGTCGTACAGGCGTGCGTTCACGTAATCAAGCATTGCGACGAGAACGTCAGAGACCTAAAATAAGCGGTCGTATCGCACTGGGGGAATTGTTAATCTTTAGCGGAGGCCCCTTGAAGCAAACTATACCCCCGCCTTATAACCACACCCTCAGCTCAAATAGTGTTGTTATTCACCAAAATATAATGAACTTGATGAAGGAACCATGCATGAAATGATTTTTTAGCTTTTTTCCAAACGAAGACCCCGATTAATCGTCAGTGTCCATGGAACCCGGAGCAGGAATTCGTTTTCTGTTTTATTGTCTCCATCCAGTATTGCACAAAGAAAAAAAAAAAAAAAAGACGCTTCCTCGTGGTCGCGTTGTTATTGGCGGGTCGTCGGAGCTCTCCTCTTTTCCCTCATCAGGTGGCGCGGGTAATGGGAATACCCGACTTCTCTGTCCTCGCGCCAGGAAGAGAGAGAAGGGTTTTTCCGTCTCCGTTGCGATAACACACAACGAACGCCTGCACCGAAATCCCTAAAACTCCGCGCGTGCCTTGTGCTCTGCCAACCCCAACGCGCGCACGTGGCTATGTTAAAAAAAACATTAGCAACATATAATCGGTGTTGTTGTTGTTGTTTTTTTTTGTTGTTTTTTTTTGTCTTTGTTTGCGGCTGTTATTGTATGAACCAAAAAAGCAGCGTGTGTTTCAAAGGTCGGAAATACCAAGAAATAACTTTAAGCTGTCCTGATTGAAAGCAAAGAAATGGTTGCATCGCCCGTTTAACAAGAATTTAACTAGCTTTTGAGAGTGGATAAATGGAAGCTCAAAATTAACAAATTAAAATTTTTTTTTTTGAAGGTGGCATGTTTATTAGACCGATACGAATAACATATGATCATCATTCAATGAGCCATTCCTGCAATTAAACAAAGTATTATTTTCTTTTCTTTTTTTAACTGCGCCCATTCAATTTTACATAAATCACAGAGTAGCCCTTTGACTCGAAAGGAGAATGGAGCAGAACATAAACTTAATAAAAAAATTAAAAAAAAACGTGATTCAAAGTTAGCTTAACTTCGAATCACGAATTAAACTGGTTGTTTCGGGGCACGCCGGGATCAGTAGACCAGAGACCAGATCCGAGATCGAGCACGCGATCCCCCGTAGAGCAGGGCCACTCCTCCGGGATCGGCGGACGCCTTCCCGTCATTCACCTTCCCAGAAATCCCCTTCCCGCACTCACGGATATCGAAGGCGCATGTTTTCGCAATCGCGGAGGTAACAACACGTGTTCTACGTACGAGAGAACTTAATAATGATAAGAAAGATGCATGTCAATGAGCGATGTGCATCATCGTAGCCCACTTGCCTCTGCATAGGAATATTCGTGAACGGACTCCCCAAGTACGTCTCGATTTTCGGCATCTTCCGCGGAGGTACGCAAAGGCAGCCGAATTCAGGCGGGACATTAAAACAGTCCTCGGCGTCGCTGCTATTCGAGCCGCTGCTGCTGGAGGAGTTGCTCCAGCGACTTGACAACAAACTTTCATCAAGTTGCAGCAGCAGTAAAGCGGGCGGCACTTCGCCCGGCAAGAAAGGAAGTCGAGCGTGCGCGCCGAGGGATTACGAGGCTGGCTTCCGGTCGAATTCGGCGAAATCCGCGGAGCGACTTTTCTCGGATCCGGAGCGAAATCTGGAGTGAAAGGTGATCCAAAGCGACGAGTGGAATACGCCCGTCTCGATCCAGGTCGCCCAGTGAAATAAGTGCGCTCTAGAGAAGTCGATCCAGGCGCGCTTCAAAACGACTAGTGGAATTCGCCGTTAGAGATAAAGCTTCAGCGTGACTTGAATATAGCGAGGTTTTAAGATGAATACCCTCGTTACTCGTTAAAACGTTCGCTGCGCCTTAGGTCTGTTTAACCTGAGGCTTACCGAAGAGCACCTGAGATCGAATGAACCAGTAGGTTATTTTCTAGGAGAACAGTTTGCCGGCCTACATGATGAGTTGACCCGAGGCGCTTCCTGAACGCAATTAAATGAAGCTTCTTGAACAGAATTAAATGATCAGGTGAAATGATGTTACGGAATTGGCTGAAACGTTTCCTTCGAATAACTTATGACATATTAAAGGGGTACGGAAACCAAATTCTGGAGCTCATTTCTTTGTTTCAACACGACGCAGGTAGCAGCACAACCACAGAAACATAAATATTGCGCTAGAAAACGCAAGAAAACATATTTTAAAGTGAATTAAACGATAATCAAAAACCACCTGGTAGTTGGTTATGAAGCTTCAATGGAATGTCGTGACGACAACATGCCTCTGAAAGCAGCGCCGCAGCGGTATGTCCGCTCACTGGTATAGATTGCCTAGGCCTGAACGCAATACCGAGGCGTCTTGGTGGAAAGAGCCAAAACGAAGTGAGCCACCTTGGTTTCAGCTCTCGCGCGACGTGCAAACGCGTGCTTCGGTTGTTCTCAGGTTTGGTGCGCGTGCTGGCCCCGCGATCTCTGCAGCCCTTGGGTACTTCGACAAAGCGAGATTGTAACGCGTTGACGCCTCCAAGTGGCAAAACTCGTCACTGCGGTACGCTTGGTCGTCCGAGGCATGATGACGTCAAGACGTCTGCCGGATCTCCCGAGATGCATCGCGCTCCTCCATGGCTGATTTTGAAGCGCTCGCCAAAATCGCGGCATTTAGAGCATAAAATATAGCCATCTGCTCAAAATACGACCGTGCGATTATTCATTACAGGCTTAGCTGATCATATTGAACTCATTTCTTGATGTTTTCTCTATATTTCAAGTTTCGATTCCGTATCCCTTTAAAAGGGATTTGTATCGCATACATTGAAAGTAGAGGGACAACCATAAATGAAAGCGACCGAGAGAAATAAAAAGTTTTTTTCAAGATTGATCTATTTGATATACGGCAACAGGCACGGGTGGAAACCAACTTGCTGCGCGATTCAATCGAGACCGGTGCTGCACACCGACTCATTTTGGCCGGGGTCCGTTGGTAATTTTTAACGACGCCCCGTGCACGCAAAAGCAACAACAACAAATAAATAAAAAGGCTCAGCATATCGCTGAGTAGAAACGCGACACGGGGCCAAGACCGACTTGGTTCGAGTCTTTGATTGCAACTCTGGCTGAAATCATTGAAGCGCACGTTCATGAATACTTTACAGCCTGCGCGGACAAACGATTTCGTTGGCAACGAAGCCGTAGATGTGTCACCGAAAGGGGAAGAAAACAAAAAAACTCGTTTCTGCAGAGGCGAAGACTGATCGAAATCTGTTTCTCTTCTAGATGCCCCCCCCCCCCCCCCCTCAAAAAAAAAAAAGAAGCAAAAAGTGCGTTTTGCGTGTTTTCTTTTTGCTGGAATACCTAATGATTCCCGGAGAAACACTTCTGCGGTCTTTGAGTATATCGCTCCCCAAAATACTCCCCCAAAGAAATGAATCACGAAATAAAAGGAGCCAAACGAGGGATGACGATAAGGAAGAAAGGGTAGTTCGTTCCCGTAAGCAAAGAACAAACTCATCTGGCGAGTTTTCGAGATTCCATCCAGCGTTGTGCATAACGCGCGAAGCACACTCGTTCCGTGGGAATCGCACATACGCGTTTTCAAACCTTTTGTCGTTGTTTTTCGCGCTCAGGCGCAGTACTCCACGGGTTGACTGGCCTCCTCGCATCTCCGATTCGTTTTTCAGACCTCCATCTCGCCTAAAACAAATCAGACACGAGCGTATTCCCAAAGTAAAAATTAAAAAAAAATATATGTATATATATATATAAAGAACAACAAAGACTATCGGCGGTCTCGACGTAGCGCGGCATCGCTTGGCAACTGCCAACTGACCACCCAAACTTTTCGTACCGTTTCCGAAGGCGCGCGGGAAAAGCGTGGGGCTGCCGTCGGTGTGCGGCGCCATCTGTTGCGAACCTGGCGCGGCGGCGGCGGCGGCGCGAGTCACGCAATGCGCGGTGGCCGCACGGGGCTGCCTGCGGTGGTGCGGACGGCTATCTCCGCTGATGAATTAGATGGCGCACGGAAATCCTCGGTGGCCGAGTTCGCACGCGCAAGTGGTTTTTGCCTTCCCCTTCGGCTTCTGAAAGTGAGGCGTGATGGATCATGGCCGGAGAGTCGGCGGTGTGTGTATTCCGGGAATCCAACTAACACCACCGACGCAGCCGTCGCTCCCGCAAGGCGGCGTTGCCGTACGCACCCAATCTTTGCGGTATCGGACGCGTTCAGGTCGGCATCACGCCACCGGTTATGATTCTAGAATATTTTTTTTCTATATCGTTTTTTTTTTTGTTTTGTTATAGCAAGTGGCCATTTTTGTATAATTTTAATAATTTGAAGCTGGAAGGACGGCAGCGAATGCAACGCTACCGGATATTATGTCATATTGCCGAGTTAGCAGAGGGAAGTTGGATTATTCGTGCGCGTGCACACGCACTCGCAGATATAGACGCACTCTCGCGCATCTAGGCACATCACCACACGACCATGATGCAACGGCAATACAAACACGTATGCCTTCGT